TCCCGCCCGCCCACTCGGCCACTCCAGCTCCAGCTCATGAGCTCCGGATCCAGAGACTGTCACGCCCACCAGGGAGTGCACCTGTCCCCAGTGTCCTCCCGCTGTCCTGGCCACCGGAACAGACCTGAATGCTGGTTGAGCCCGGCCTCTGTCTCATCTCCTGAGTCAAGGGAGCTCAAAGTGGCTGGAGAGAATGGCAGAACGCTTGTTGGCTGGTCTGTCTGCACTCTCGTGAACTCAGCGCCTCTGCAAGGGACACACACTACCGCACACTTCTGTGCTGTCAAGTCCCTGTCGTGCTCTCCAAGACAACTCTATCACACCTCCTCCTGCGACCCCCAACCCGTCCCACCGGCACCCACTGGAGGGGGTGTTTTCTTGGGACCCAAACACGGCAGCTGCTCCCTTACCTACAGAATCCTACCCCTCCTAAGTGCCACAGCACAGACTGCATTCAGTTGCTCAGATCTGTCATACACAGTCGTTTCCCCCAAATCCGTGTTCTGTGACAGAAGGGTTCCAAGCTCAAACGACTTTGGGAAACTCGGAGTTACAGAGGGTGCAAGGGCGTGGGCGTTTGGTGCTTGGGGTGCCCGCGTTCCGTATGTTCAAGCCCTGGCTCTGCTTCCAGTTCCAGCTTCCGGAATTATGTGATCATTCCTGGGACGCAGCGGCAGGTGGCCCAGGCGGTTGGGCCCTGCCGTGCGTGTGGGAGACCTGGGTGGAGCTGACGGTGCTCCGCTGCAGCCTGGCTCAGCCCCAGCTGCTGGAAGCGTTTGGGGAGTGAACCAGCACACAGGGGAGCTCTCTCTCCCCCCCCCCCCTCCCTCTCTCTCTGCCTCTCAAAAAAAAAAAAATAAACAAAATCAAAGCCAAGAAAATGAAAGTATCAGGGCACTCAAATGGAATTAAAACATCAGTTTATTTCGCTGTGAAAAAAACTGAGCCCCACGGTTTTTCCATGACGCATACTGTCCATGAACTTTCTGAAGACCTTGAATGTAAGCATTTTCTGTGCGCCTTGAATGTGCCAGTTCCTACCGCAGCTCCCTAGTAAGGAGGCGGAACATGTAATGTTCCTCCTGGAAATTTGTTCATTTTTTTCTTTTTAGATTGATTTATTTGTTTGAGAGGCAGAATTACAGCGAGAGGGAGAGACAGACAGAGGTCTTCCATCCGATGGTTCACTCCCCAGGTGGCCGCAACAGCTGGAGCTGTGCCAATCCGAAGCCTGGAGCCAGGAGCTTCCTCCAGGTCTCCCACGTGAGTGCAGGGGCCCAAGGACTTGGGCCATCTTCTACTGCTTTCCCAGGCCAAAGCAGAGAGCTGGATCGGAAGTGGAGCAGCCAGGACATGAACTGGCGTCCATATGGGATGCCGGCACTGCAGGCGGAGGCAGTAATCTACTATGCCACAGTAGTGGCCCAGATTTGTGGTTATCAGATGTTAACGTTGATCAAAGCCAGTGCATCTCAGGACCAGGTTTGGAAAAAAACGACGAAACGTATGGCAGTCTTCCAGCCCCGTCCCATCTGCTGCAGTGACGCTTGGGAGTGCAGCCGTGTCGTGGAACCCCTTGTCATATCACAGACAACACGGTGCTCACATGCCAACAGGACACTGTCATGGTGTGGCCACCAAGTGACCAGATCTGTTCCAGGAAAGTCCCTCTCCCACCATTTGCTCCTAATCAGGAAATCAGCCCGCCTTTCCCCCCTTACATCCTCTCACTGCTGGCCCATCCTGGTGCATTCTCACTCTTGGCTTTGCCTGCACCATGAAACATCTCACACTGTCGCTCTCTTACCCGACGGCCCACAGTGGGCAGCCGCCCCCCCGGAACTTCCCAGCAGTACTGCGCGGAAGCTGCCTCCTTAGAGCTGGCCTTTGGTCGCTCTCTTCCCAGGAAGTGCTGCCTCGGGGTCCGGCCCCTGTCACCTGGGGGCAACATTTAGCATACCCCCCACCTCCACCTGCAGCACCACAGGCACACAAACCCCCGACACGACACCCTCCTCAATCCCTTCATCACACTCAACAGAGAGGAGGTTGCTGGATGCCCCAGCAGCCACTCCTTCATCCAGTCAACCGTGGTCTCCAGTCTAATCGGAACTCAGGTGCCAATATGGTCTGCAGACTTCACTCACCTCCTTCCCCCGTGGTCTTGCGTTTACTCCTAACTCACCGCCGCCAAACACCCTCGCCAGCCCCTGGAACGAAAGGGCTCTGCCCACAAGTCTTGGAAGCACTTTAATCCGGAGTCTGAAATCCAGTCTTTAGCCTGTTCCCACCCTGAGTCTCCAAATGGTAGCCTCCTCGGGCAGCCTCACTTGTCCACCTAACTCACCAAGACTGCTGTCCACTCTCCTTAATGCCATCAGCAACAACAATGACGCAGGCGGGGAGGGAGCCTCGGTCACCTGCTGGATCCAAAATGCCGATCAAGGCACCGATTTTAATTAACTGGGAGGAAATGCAGCTCCCTCCGGGCTTAGCCATTCACACGCAGCAGCAGGCAAGAGAAAAATTCTCACAAAACTGAAAACAAATTCTGTTAACAGGAAAGAGAAAATGACTCAGTTTCCAACCTAAAGAACGATAACAAGACCCCGAAAGGAGACTTCATGTTGACATCCGTTTTCAGCTCACCTCCACCGGCCTGAGCTCTGTTAGCAAAGGTCACCGATCGTCCTACAAGTGGGAAGGTGACACGCTGTCTGTCCACAGCCGGCCTGGGAAGGGGAGGGCTGCGAGGAGAGTGGTGTCTGAGGGGGCCTGACCCTCCCCGGGCAGACTGGGCCCAGCACATGACACCTGCAGCGTCCGGTCACCTGCCCGGAGCTCCATCAACAGGATCTTCAAAGGTGAGTGAAGAAATGGCACCATCAATGCTTTCCTGCCGGGGTCAGGAGGGGTCTCCCGATGTGCCGGGGTCAGGGGGGTCTCCCAATGTTTGCTGGGTGCAAAGCCAGCCCAAGAATGGTGGCATGCCACGTGGCAGCCAGCAGGAGAGTGGTGGCATGTCACGTGGCAGCAGGAAGAGCCCTTGTGTGTTCCGAGACAGGGAAGTGAAAAAATCTACTGGGTGGGAAAAGTTGGACCAACAACTTGTAACTGCTGTGTGTGATCCCCTGGGAAAAAAATCCCAGACCAGAGAAGGAGCAATTGAAACCTGGGGGGAAGGTGTCAGAGATCCGAAAATGGGTTCCGTAGCATCAGTGTCTTGTGAGTTTGATGAGACCTGAATTTTTCCTTACTTTTTATCAAAGTGAGACTTGTTTGGGAAGATGAAAAATGATTTTACGTTCTTGGTCTGAGAAAAATGCTGGCAAAAGCCAGCCGCCCCCGGCTACTGCTCTGTTTCCTGGGAGGCAGCCGTCCCAACCCCCCAGGTGTTACCTCTGGGATTTACCTTCTCATTTTTCAGTAATGCTTTTCTGTTTCTTTTATTTGAAAGCCAGAGTTACAGAGAGGGCAAGACACACACGGAGATCCATCCACTCACTTCTCTCCACTCACTTCCCAGATGCCCACAATGGCCAGGGCTCAGCCAGGGCTGGGCCAAGCCAAAGGCAGGAGCCAGGAGCTTCATCCGGGTCTTCCATGTGGGTGGCAGGGGCCCAGACACTTGTCCCACTTCCGCTGCTTTCCCAGGCCATCAGCAGGGAGCTGGATAAGAAGTGGAGCAACCGGAATGTGAACCAGTGCCCATGTGGGGTGTCGACACTGCAGCTGGCAGCTTCACCCACTATGCCACGGTGCCAGCTCCACACCAGCTCTTACGTGGCTCTTTTGTGACTAGTCAACGTTACACTTCACCTGTTGACTTCTAGTTATGGTGGACGAGGATTTAACTTTTCCGTGGGGCTGGTGCTGTGGCACAGTGGGATGAAGCCACATCCTGTGGCACTGGCACCCCACATGGACACCAGTTCGAGTCCTGGCTGCTCCATTACTAATCCAGCTCCCTTCTGACGCACCGGGGAAGCAGCAGAAGATGGCCCAAGTGCTTGGCGCCTGCCACCCACGCAGGGGACCCAGGTGGAGCTCCAGGTTTCTGGCTTTGGCTTGGTCCAGCTCCAGCCCTTGTGGATATTTGGGGTGTGAACGAGTGGATAGAAGATATCCCGCCCACACCCCACCCTGTGTCAGTCGGCCTTTCAAATAAACTTTTTTTTTTAAAAGACAAAGCTTTTCCTTGTGATAAACCAAAATGCCTGTCCAGCCCATAAGGAAGAGCATATCATGGAGTAGTCAGTATCTAAGGCAGATAAGAAAAATGCCGAGAAATTTGATTATACGGCAATCGGACTTACAGAGTGGCAGAACATTCCAGATGAAATATTACCAAAGTGAGCCCAGCAGTTCATGAATATATACATACCAATGACCAATGGGTTTGTTCAAAGGTGGTTTGGAATCTCTCTATGTGTGATTTTCTACTTACCATCTCATCAAAAATAAATAAACAAGATACTAAAAATAGCAATCTAGACCCAGGAAGGAATTTCCTGAACTTGGTAAAAGGTATTTTTGAGAAATCTGTGGTATGTGGCATATTTAACACTACTGGAATACTTTAAAAAACTTATGGAAAAATGGAATTGAAAGTTAAGTTTCTGAAGACCTCCCCATATATTTCTATGCCCCTTATGATTTTCTCAAGAATAAAATCTTTGTAAGTTTCTGCCTGGGCCTGGGTGGCTGCAGGCTGGGAGTGGCTCAGCAGGCCTCGGGCACCTGTGAGGTCGAGGGCAGAGGTGGACAGAAGGCTCTGACCCTCCTCAATAGCTGGTTTTTGGGTTGCAGAGCATCATGGTAACACAGCTGGTACCAGCTATCGCCAGAGGAGCCGGGGGACGTGGACAGGAAGTGGGGGTGGGTGGGTTGTGGATTGGGCAGCAAGGAGGCCCCCCCCCGGAGAAGCAGCCTGGGGAGGATGCCAAGGCAGGTTTCCGCCAGGACAGATGCTCTCCACACATCGGGACCGTGCGCCCTCCCGCTGCTCGCTGAACGCAGAGGGTGGGGCAGGAGCGCCCCCCGTGTGGGGACGTGCGGGCAGCATTGTGACGGGACCCCACCCAGTGCTTCCAAAGGCCCTCCCCCTCTGCTGGAAGGTGCACGAGACAGCTCCAAGTCAGAGCGAGGCCCCGTGTGCCGCTGCCCGTGTCGGGTGTTGCAAGCACTGGCATCGGTGGCCCCACCGTCCCCTTCAGGCTTTGCCAGTCTGCGGCAGCAGATGCTTCGGGTCCCGGGACGGGCACAGCAGTGGCACCCGGGGACTGACTGCCTGCAGACTGTCATTTGCTCCCAGCCTGGAGGGATCCTGGGTGAGGACCTCCTTGCAATGCAGCGGTAGCTGCTGCTTTACTGGGCCTCTGGGGCTCCGCGTGGCTGCAGTGTGTGCTGTTCAGAGCCAGGGCTCAGCGCCCGGGAGAACAGCACAAGTGTCCCGGAGTCCGCCATGCCTACTTTCTGGGATGGTCAGTGCAGGGTAAGGACTGGTATAGAATACTGGGGGCGGGGTACGCTGAGATGCCCACTTCTTAACGCTACAGGCAGACGGGGCACACTGCCCAATAAATTCAGGAAATCAGGTTCTGAGACAGGAAATTGTTGTGGGAAATATCGGAACCTGACATTGACTTTAGGTGAGTGGGTGAAGGACGCTCTAGGGGACCCCTGGGGGTAACGCAAACCAACAAACCTCAGTGGTGCCGGGAACACCTTTTGGCTCGGTTACGGTGTCAACAGAACGCACGGGTGGGCTGCGTGCCCACTTGTACCCTCGACTCAGCCATTTCAGGGGGAACCGCCTCGTTCCAGCCAGAGCACCCCAGATGTCTACCCGATGACTGCCTTCCCCCGGGAATCCTGGAGCAAGCTTCATGGAAAAATCCCATCAGGTAATGATTATCCCAGAGCTGTGCAAGCCTGCAGGGGTCCACCAGCCCCCAGGGAGTGTGGGTGGCCTCATCTGTGGTCACCAGTGTGTGTTTTACGTGGCCTGTCCCTGGTACGGTTTATTCTTTAAACAGCTTGTACACACGGGGACGCTGACCCGAGTTGGGCAATGTCATTGCCGGCGCGGTCAACACCAAGGCTCCCGACCTCCCCCTCCTCCAGGCCTGATCTCTCTGCAGGCCCGTATTTTCTGTCCACAGCATCACAATTAATCACCCAAGAAGAAACAACTTCCTGGTGTGTCCTCCTAGCCCTTTCCCACGCCGTCGTTTGAGGCCAGACAGAGACACGAGCCGCTCGTTTAGAAGTGGTCTTTGGCCACAGCTGGAGACGAGTTTTCCCTAAAGCTTTTGCAGTTGGTTAGGAAGTGCACGCGCAGCTCAGTTCTTGCTTAGGTGCACACCTGCGTACGTGCTGGCAAACGCCTTCGATGTTTGCCGTTGTTGGCAACGTCTCGGTCGGGCTCATCTGTCACTTGGTTTTCAGAGACGCCGGTCGGGGCACATGTGGTGGCAGGTCCAGGTGATTGAGACCCTGTAACTGATTTCCTGATGATCCGGTGTAGGGCACTCTACCTGCTGAGGTCATTAGAACAAGGTCCAGCCGCTGGGTGGCGCGCGCGGGGCTCAGCGTTGGAGCCCCAGCAGGTGCAGGCAGGAGCAGGTGACCTCTGGGACTCGGTGGCCTTTGTGTGCTGTGATCCATGGCTCCAGCCCAGTGCCACCCTTTGTCCTTGTGTCACCACCTATTCAAGAGAGGCTCCACTCCTTCCTGCCTGGCCCACACCTGCCCAGTGTTCTTGATCGATAGATTCACCTTCTGAGTGAGGGGCGGGAGGGCAGACATTTGCTGGATGACTGCCTGTGCTCTCCTATGGGAACTCAAGGGCTTTATAAAACATTAAAGAAAACAGAATTAAAAGACATATTTTCATGAAAAAAAAAATGGAATCCGTACAAATGAAGGGTTTTCAAAATATTCACAGGAAATGTATCTTATGAAAAAACTATTCGAGGCCGGTGCCGCGGCTCACTAGGCTAATCTTCCGCCTGCGGCACCGGCACCCCGGGTTCTAGTCCCGGTTGGGGCACCGGTTCTGTCCCGGTTGCTCCTCTTCCAGGCCAGCTCTCTGCTGTGGCCCGGGAAGACAGTGGAGGATGGCCCAGGTCCTTGGGCCCCTGCACCTGCATGGGAGACCAGGAGGAATCTCCTGGCTCCTGGCTTCGGATCAGTGCAGCGCATCAGCTGTAGCAGCCATCTGGGGGGTGAACCAACAGAAAAGGAAGACCTTTCTCTCTGTCTCTCTCTCACTGTCCACTCTGCCTGTCAAAACACACACACACACACACACACACACACACAAAAACCACTATTCATGAATCTCAGAACTTTTTGCACCAAAACAAATTTTCTTTTAATTTCATTTTCAAACTTGTTCAACTTTCCTTGTCTATGTAAGGTCTAGCTGAAGTCCTGATATCAAATATCCCTTGCAGTCTTAAATTTCTTTTTATTTAAATGTAGTACAATTGATTCTTCTGGGGGTATACAGTTCTATGAGTTTTGGTCCATGAAAACAAGTGATCATCAGTGTGGCTTGGGACAGAGCAGTCTTGCCGTCCTGGGAAACTCCCCGTGGAATCTCTGTATACTCACACTTGCCTCTTCTGTGCCCCTGGTAACCGCTGATCCACTTTCCAGCCCTGTAGTTTGCCTTTTCCAGAAAGTCACATAACGGGCTCACACAATATGTGAGCTTTTGGCCTCCCTTCCTCCCTCCATCCCTCCCTTCCATTTGTATGTTTGAAAGGCAGAGTGAAAGAGAAAGACCCTCCAGATATCTCTGGTTCCCTCCCCAGGTGCTCTCCTCGGCTGTGGGTGGGCCACGCTGAACTCAGGAGCCAGGAACTCCATCCAGGTCTTTCGTGTGGGCGGCAGGGACCCATGACGTGGGCCATCTTCCGCTGCCCTCCCAGGCCCATCAGCAGGAAGGTGGATCAAAATCAGAGGAACCAGGGGTGGAACCGGCGCTCCGACGCGGGATGCGGGCGTCAGAGTGGTTTCACTCAGCGGAGCACTTTGCGGACTCTTGCGCGTGGCCGAGCGGCATCAGCAGCACCGGCAGTGGGGTCTCTGCACGCAGGCACCACACTGGGTTCGCTAGCCTGCAGGTGGACCCCTGGGTCGTTGCGGGTTCTGTTGAGCACAGAGCTGCTGTGAGTGTCCATGTGCAGGTCTCGTGTGGACACGGGCTCACTTCTTCCCCAGTGAGCAGGGAGGCTGGGTTCTCTGGTCTTTGCCTCTCGGAAGGGCACCGACCAGCACATTCTGCACAGAGAGACGACTTCATTCTTTATCCTCGGCAACACCCGTGAGTTTCAGATGTTCCATGCTCCTGTCAGCACTTGATTGCAGCGGCATCTCACTGCGGTCTCGCATTTCTCCGAGTGGCAGTGAGGCTGAGCGGCTGTTCGTGGGCTGCCTTGCTTCTTTATAAAGTGCCGCTCCCCCTCTTCGTGGAGGAACGACACTGAACCCTGCCTAGGCTTCATATCCGAGTCACGGCACCATTATGTCGCTCCCCCTCTTCGTGGAGGAACGACACAGGACCCTGCGCTGTTCTTTTGTCTGCTCGGCCCTTCCCGGGTTTGCTGCCATCCTTCCACCTCCGTGGAAGGGCGGTTCCCCCTGCCACTTTCCCCACTTCCGCGGGGGAGCGGCACACCGCCGGCCGGCTCTCTCGGGGGCTGCACAGGTGTTCCTTCAGATAGATGTTCCTGGTGCATGTTGTCTCTCTCCTCCTTTATAGTCCTCTTCCACCAATCCCAACTCTGCTACCCACACGCCGAGTACGCTGCTCTCCTCCAATCAGGAGCAGGTCCTGCTGTTTATTGGTTGAACTGGAGGCAGCTGTGTAGAAGCTGCTTCTCCCTTCTCAGCGCCATATTGTGGGAAAGCAGATGCATAGAATAAGTCTTAATTCCAGTAACAGTCTAGTCCAGAGTTGCTCCCCACAATAAAGCGTCGGTTCCAGCCTTTTGCTCGTTTGTCACTGGACTGTTTTGTTGTCAAGTTCTGCGCATGTCGCCCATCAGATACGTGACCTGTGATCTTAACCAGTCTAGCTTCTCTTGTCACTCTCCATAGAGTCTTTTGCTGCGAAAACACTTTTGAAGACAGCAAGTTGTTCATTTACGGGTCGCTTCTGGTGGTTTATGTAGGAGTTCTTCACCTAACCTGAGAGACGGCGAAAATGTTCTCCTGGGATTTTTCTCGAGAAGGTTTCTATGGTTCCGCATTTGCCGCTTAGCTCTGTGGCTCCGTGGCCCACTGTGAGTTCATTCGTGTGTCAGGTGTGAGTTGAGTATCAGGTCTGTTCCATTGACGTGCTGGACTTCCTCCCGTGTTCTCGGCCTGAGTGACCAGTCTATCGCCCCTGTCCCCAGACGCCAGCATTTCCTCTTGACACTGCAAGTCCTTGGTGGAGTCAGGGGGGAGGGTCTCAGGGATCTCAGGAAACAAGTGGGAGACACAGCCCAGCTGCTTGCTCCGGGGTGGTCTTCAGTGCACAGTCTCCCCGGCGCGTGCTGACACACACGCGACGTAGCTGGCCAGCCACGGTGTCAAGGACAGTCAGACTCGGGGCTTCCCGAGCATGGCCCGATGGCCATTGTGACCCAGCGTTAGCCCTTCCCAGACACAGGGTTCACAAGAGGGGGTGGCTCGACAGTCAGCTTACAGCCGTGCTGGGCCTTTGCTGAGCCGGGGCGTTTGCTGTAACTGCCCCGGGGATTAGGCGTGAGTCTCGTCTCCGAGCGAGGACGCGTCATCCCACCAGGAGAGCTTGCTGGAGCCGTGTGGAGGCTGTGGAGGTCCTAGTGGCTGGTGAAATGTCTTTTTTTTTTTTAGATTTATTTATTTGAAAGTCAGAGTTAGAGAGGAGAGGAAGAGAGAGAGAGAGAGAGAGAGAGAGAGAGAGAGAGGAGAGGTCTTCCATCCACTGGTTCATTCCCTAATTGGCCACAACGGCCGGAGCTGCACTGATCCAAAGCCAGGCGCCAGGAGCTTCCTCCAGGTCTCCCACGCAGGTACAGGGGCGCAAGCACATGGGCCATCTTCTACTGCTTTCCCAGGCCACAGCGAGAGCTGGATCAGAAGTGGAGCAGCTGGGTCTTGAACTGGCGGCCATATGGGATGCCGGCACTGCAGGTGGCAGCTTAACCCGCTGCGCCACAGAGCCTGCCCCCTGATGAAATGTCAGGGTGGAGCCCTCTGCGTTTCCATGTGATCACTGTGCACAGCCACTGTGTTCACTGGGTTTGCATCCCAGGGCTGCTTGCAAGTGGGTGCTGGCAGCAGGTTTTCAGTAGACGGAGTGTTTTTGCAGTGACATAATTCTGTGTGCAAGGGTTGCCAAGACCAAGAGGCCCAGTGTGCGGGGCACAGACTGCGTAAGGAGGTGCAGCTTGAAAGTATCACTAGGTTGCACATCCCACTGCTACTGCCATGTGTTTTCCGTTTTCTTCTGCTCCGGGGCCAGCTATATGGTGACTGTCAGTAAATGCTGGGTGATCGATGAACGGACAGATATCACATTCATTACATGACACAGTCACTGCTGAACCTGGCAACACCGTGCATTACGGTGAACGTGTCCGGTCGTGCGTCTTCACTTTCACTTCTCTGTTTAGACGGAAGGTGCCAAAGTTCACCCTTTGCAAGTCCCTGGGGCTCTGAAGTCCTGCACCTGGCAGTGTGGCCCCCAAAGATGTGACAGGCAGAGGGGACACCATGCTACAGGAGGTCACCAGGACCCTGGTGCCGGGAGGGCTGGGCTCTCGTGTGGCGCTAACACACATGTGTTGTGGGCTTAGAGGAAGTCCCATAACTTTCCTGAGCTTCATTTGTTTTTTGTATCTGAAAATTGCAGACCTGAGTCATT